ATGTCCCCCAAAAAATTTTAAATTTTTCTAAAAAAATAGAAAAATTTCATTTTAATCCGATTTCATTTTAATCTGTCTCATTAACTGCTACATTTCATGAAATAAAAGCAAAATCATTAAAAAATATATATAACAGTTTTAAAACAACATTATTTTTATATAATTTGCAAGTTACAAAATCGAATTTGCTTGAAAGTTATAACACCTTAAAAACATACAATGCTTACTATAATTTTTTTTTATATCAGGGTGAAGCCCAATTCTAGTAAACCCCGCTTTGGCTATAGAGCTAGGGTAAAGTTCGCGTTAGCATATATTTTATATACGCGGATTTCACTCTCATGTAATATCCATAACAGATTTACTCAAAATTCAACGCGAGTTAAAAATCTTACAGTACATAGTGGTTCAACCAGTAAATCATTTAGCATTTAACATCCCGCCACCTCTACCTTATATATATATTTTTTAGATAAAAAAAATTGTATACATACAGCATTTTTTTAAAAAATATCGATGCTTTCTTAAAAAAAAAACAATGTTTTTTACATATATATTTCTTTTTTTTAAAAAAAAAGCTTCGTTTGAAATCTTGCGATTTTAATCGTTTCACGAAATGCTGATAATCATTGTAGTAGACAATTTAGCCGATCTCCATTTCGAATGAATACGTATCATTTTAACTAGACCAATTAGTCACGAAAAAAAACAGCCAAACTAAATTCGATTTATTCTTACTCATGAAACATATAGAATTAAGGTGAAACAATTCTGGCTGAATTTTAATATGTGGATGTCGTAATATCACTCGAAAACAGCCAAACTAAATTCGATTTATTATTATTCCATATAAACATATAATTAAAGTAAAACAATTCCGTTGAATTTGAATGTGTGGATGTCGTAATATCACTAGTGCTATTTTAGATGCTAGAAATAGCTGGATATAAGTATATCCTGTGAAACTATATAAATAATGATAATCATTTCTATGCATGGAGAATACAATAGTAATTCCTTTACGAGATGAAGGGAAAAGTGACATTTTTTAGAGCTCATGCAGCAGGTGGACTAGTTAGGGATCCAAAAAATTGATAAAATTTCTATAGCGATAGATTTTTCGACTAAACATGTCCAGAGACACTGAATACACACGAATGACAACGTATCGGTATAGAATATCGATATATAATATGAATATATATATATATATATAATGAATATAAAAGGATTTTATCATATGATTTTGGTGGTACAATAAGATTTATATAGAAATTGATAATGTGCTACTAATAAAACTTTTTACGGTTGTAATTAATTTCAGCCAAAATTTTATAAAATACGTATAAATAAAATAATTTATCTATTATACGTAGTAAAATTTTGAATACATATCATTTAAAAAAAAATATACTTATATGTATCACAAAGCTTTTGGCTCAAAATTTTCTGGGGGTACACGAACTTGCCGAATTTGATTGGTTAATATATGTAAATCTATAAGTTAATTTTATTATAAATTTTTATATCTAATCTTTAAAAATTTATATCTCACTAAGTTTTTAACCAATTTTAATGATTTTACTACCATTAAAATCAGAAAAACCTACTCTACAAACTTTTTTTAAGAATTAAAATTAGTTTACTAAAATTAAATATAAAAAAAATTTACCATTAAGTTTATATATAATTTTAAAATAGTACCCCTACCCTTAAGCTTGTATGGATGGTGGAAAATACCCGGTAAACGTCGTATTAAATCCGACACTAACTATAATTTTATCTGCCAAATAATTTGTTATTCGATAGAGACGATAATTTAAACTATATACCTTAATTACTTTTAACTCTATTATCTGCCAAATAATAAATTATTAACAGGCCAATCGTAATTTCCGGATAAATTCGTTAGATGCTGCCTTATAACTCATTTATCTTTATCTGACCACGGACTTAAGGTCAGCCTAAAAATTGAATTCCAAAGGATTCAATTCCTTATGTTGATTTTAAATCGTTATCAGACAATTCCCGCCTGATAACTTATTATTATAAGCCCAAATGAAAATTTCTTAATAAAAAGCTTTCAATACGTAAGAAAATTTCAAAGATAACTTGATTACGTATGCTACATTCGCAGAGTGCAATTTTAGTGATGGCGTACGTACCTCGTCTGCATCTTCAAGTAGCAGCGATAGTTACATAACTGTAAGTGAATTCTAAAGATAGGTGGTCCCACACTTAAATTCCAAAACTAACAAAGCTTACCATAACTTCAAGTATGTACGTCGCGTATTTTACAATTTAGTATAAATAAAAATTAAATATGGGAATACTGTGGGAATACTGGGCACAGGATGGATTTTCTTGGCATATCGCAATTCTTAACCATACAGATAAGAACTTGCACAAAGTATTATTCTCTATTGTACGTAGACAATGACACAACCACAAATATTTGGTTAATAAACTTCCATATACAACCGCGTTAATCTTAAAGATACCACACGCGACATACTAATTCATAATTTACCGTTACTTGAATTTATATAAATGTCTCTCCAATTTGTAATTTTTAATTTTTACTCTTTCTTTGATTGAAAAACTTTCATCAAAATGGTCTTTCTAAGTAATGCTGTATCCGATGCTCGGTTGAATGAAAAAGATGAAATTGGTAAACCGGTTTGTATTATGAATAGTAAATGAACAGGATATGAATAGGATAGTGCCATATACAGTATTATAATATCAAATTATTTTGGTTTTCATGCTTCAGTATCATAACATTTTACCTTGAATTTATTAAATTTGTCCCTTTTTTTTGAACAAAAAAAAGGTGTTTTCAACTTGTGTTTATGGTTCTCGATGGACCACACAACCTATTCCGAAGTAAGAATATTAAATTTATGCTGACGATTGAATTCTCTCGTCTTTTCTTGGCTGAAATAATGATTCTTGACAGATATTCCTTACCTGATGATGAAATGCCACCGCAAGTCGCCTATAAGCTCATCAAAGATGATCTTCAGGTATATTAATTAATCGCTTAAGCAAAATGAATGCCTTTTATTTTTGTTTAATTAACTTAATTTTTTATATATTAATAAGTTGGATGGTAATCCAGTACTGAACTTGGCGTCCTTCGTTACCACTTATATGGAAGAAGAAGCCGAGAAATTAATGTCGGAAAACTTGTCTAAAAATTTTATTGATTATGAAGAGTATCCCGTGTCTGTTGAATTGCAAGTATGCATGTAGAAAATTGTTTTTATCATTAATTATTCCCACAACTTATGGCACCAAACTTACGCCGCCATGCAAACTCTTCTTTATAGAACCGTTGTGTTAACATTATTGCCCGTCTTTTTAATGCACCCATGGACAATCCACATTCCGAAGCAATGGGAGTTTCAACCATAGGTTCTTCCGAAGCCATTATATTGGCTGTGTTGGCTATGAAGAAACTGTGGCAAAAAAGAAGGATCGCTGAGGGAAAGCCTATCGATAAACCAAATTTAGTAATGTCGGCATCAGGTAATGATATTTGATTTCAATTATTCCTTGAGATTCACTCAATTTACATTTCTAAGCACCAATTGCTTTTTTTTCGTTTATATAGTTCAAGTTTGTTGGGAAAAAGGTATCGTACCTTTCGATTTTTTTTTTTTTTTCTTTTTATTGATCAAAAATGACTGATTTGGATGATTGTAGCAACTAGGTATCTTGAGATTGAAGAAAAATTTGTTTACTTGACTGAAGGCTGCTACATTCTAGACCCAGAAAAGGCAGTTGACCTTGTTGATGAGAATACAATTGGCGTTTGTGTTATATTAGGGTATAATAAATTTTTGTTAAATTTTTGTTAAATTTTGATCTAAAGTATACAGTAGGTGGGCAGGAGTTCCACCGGTTGTTAACAACCATTAATTTATTCATATGAGGAACTTACCCATCTATACTGTATTAAAATTCTAAGAATTATCATTTTTGAAACTCGATCTTTTTTAAACTTAGATCAACTTATACTGGTCATTATGAAGATGCAAAAAAGGTCAATGAACTTTTAAAAGTAAAAAATGAAGCAAATGGTTGGGATGTACCAATTCATGTTGATGCCGCATCTGGTGGATTTGTCGCTCCGTTCGTGAACCCTGATCTTGATTGGGATTTTAGGTTTAAAAGATATTTTATTCTTATAATTTCAATGGTGCCAAATTTAATTGTAATGCAAAATCATTCTTGGTAAATTTATAGGCTTGATTTGGTCCGTTCTATCAACGTTTCTGGTCATAAATATGGATTATGTTATGCAGGCATTGGATGGGCAATATGGAAGTCTCCAAAGTATTTGCCAGAAGAATTGATTTTTAATGTGAACTACCTTGGATCCGATCAAGTACGTCATTCCTTGTTAATGAAAAAATTTTAACTATTATTAAGCTTCTTTTTTTTTTTTAAGGCATCTTTCACGTTAAATTTCTCCAAAGGTGCTGCAAATGTGATCTCCCAATATTATGTATTAATTCGAAATGGGCGTGCAGGATTTACATCGATCATGACGAATTTGATGCAAATTGCTGATTATCTTGCTCAATCTTTGGAAAATACTGGCGTATTTGAAATTATTAGTGATAGAAATGGTAAAGGATTACCACTTGTAGCTTTTAAGTTGAAGCTTAAAGATATTCATTATGACGAGGTTAAAAAATTTTCTTGATTATGATGTAATTTATCAAACTTAAATTTTTTTTAAACTATATAATCTTGTTTACAGTTTGATGTAGCCCAACGTCTCCGTGAGCGTGGCTGGATTGTACCAGCTTATACAATGGCACCAAATACTCAGCATATTAAATTGATGCGTATTGTGGTTCGAGAAGATTTTTCACGCGAACGGTGTGACATTCTTCTCACTGATATTATGGCCACTATTGATCTTTTGAACAAATTAGACAAAGAAACTCTCTTTAAAAAGAGGTTTGTGTTCTTTTATCTCATATAGTTTTGTTGTTGCTTTGTTATTGCTTTTTATATGCCATTATTGATTTTTTAATTTTTTTTTTATAGAACCTCGACTGCAAGTTGGAATCTACTGAAAAGCGTTACGAGAGCTACTTTTGGTGGTGTTAAAAATGTATCACATAAAACTAATGGTGTCTGCTAAAGAAGTTATCAAAGTAGAATTAATTTCCATACATTTTGGAATCCTCTATTTATTCATTCATTTATTTATTGAGTTTTATATGTCAATTATTTATTCAAGTTTGAAATAAAATAACTGTACTTTAGTCAAGTGAACATAATATTTAATCAGTCTCAAACTTATAGAGGTCTTTCGCACTAGTACAATTATATAGAAAACGGAAAGTAGTGCAATTTTTAATCGGGTTAAAATATTAGTACAAGTTTCTATTTTTTGCATGATCATCAAAACACTTGTTTACCGCACGTTTTTATATACAGTCCTCCTATACAACCACACAGTTGGGCACATAATACAGTCGTCCTCCTCTACAGTCACCTCCTTTATAGTTTCACCCTCTTTATAAGCACCATTTTTTGAAAAATTATTGGCAATTTATTTATGGTGCGCCAAGTCACTTCTCATCAAAAATCATGGTTATTTTAAAAAATCTATAAAATCTTAAGTTTTAAATATTTTTTAAAATGTAACCGATAAAAACTATTGTTTTTTATTAGTACTATCCAAATTATTGGTTAGAATTTTTTAATTTAAGGATAGAGTACACGTCGATCATTTTATATACAATTTATAAAAAACATATGAAATTATTATGAACTTTGTAGCTTTGATGTTTTACGATCTACATATTAACTTAAAATTAAATTCTGTGATTATATAGAGCATGAAAAGAAGAAAATTTTTGCTTTAACTAGCAAGTTATAGCTTTGTCATCTTTGTATATTTTAAAAATATAATTTCATCAAAAATAAATGTAGCAGCTGATGCTGAAATTGCTGATGCTGAGATTTTAAATATTTTAATATTAAATTTTAAAAATTTTTGGGGCCTTTTGTTAGGGTTTTTTTTTTTAGGGTTAGGTTAGGGTTTAGGGGTAGTTTTATTAATAAAAGAGTATAAATGAATTTTAGTAGGTATT